ATGCCTGCAAATTGCTACCATGTCGTGGTGCAGGACTGTAGTCCAGAACTGAAATTCCTGGTGATGATGAAAAGACTTGAAGTGTCTGCTGACCTTACAACAATAAATGTCAGACTTGCCAGCCAGTAAGTAATTGCAAACTTAATGACAAATAGATGTCAAGCTGAATATGCTATAAATGTGAAGACCAGATTTTTAGGGCAGATTGGTGCTGGCATAGGACTCATGCAAAAATTATTAATGTCAGTGGAAATATTTCTAGGAGTGTCACTGGGATTTGGGACTTTGACTTGCAAAAGTGCTTCTGAAATATATCTGAGGTTCACAGTAACCTGAAGTCTTTATTGCCCAAAATTCTTCATTAATTTGTTAGCATTTAACCATCTCATTAGTAATTAGGTAGACACATAAACTAAAAATCCAAAAGGGACTATTGTAATCATTTAGTCTGGCCTCCTACACTCAACTGATAATTAGAACTAATTAGCACCCACAGTCACCTCAGAGATGTTGAGAAGTGGACATAGCTAAAAAGGGAATTACTTATCCCAGATTAGAGACACTTTCTTAGGTCATCCCTTAGTTGGTGCATAAGGTTCTACTCTATTTGAAATTAACCTAAGACACTCCATGTTTCATCTTGGAGCAATCAACCTCCACCATCATAGGTTCTTCTTTAAAAGTATAGTCTGATACTCTAAATTGTATGGGATTATGCATGCCAAAATCATTGTAGGGAGTATTTTTCAAAGAGCATAAATAGACTTTGATCTGTAAGGTTTCATTACAAGTTATTATTTATTTCTTAAAATTGTGTGCCTAACTGTGCCATAATGTTAGAGAAGCAGAGAGAAACTAGTATTCCCTGCACCAGTTTTGTGGGAGAACAGAAGGATGCTTGTTTTATAGACTGTATCTTCTGTGATAAAGACATTCTTCATCACTGTATCATTCCTGATTGTTTCATACAACTGTATGGATGTGCTTTTGATGTGCTTGAGCTTCATATTTCTTCATTAGAGTGAACGCTACTCTGAAGAAAATACTAGGATACACAGACTATTCCGGCTGTAAGAGAACCACCGTAGGGAATCCAATCTTCCTTTGAAATGTAAAGCACCTTCAATTTATGTGAACGTAATAGCAATTACATTGTTCTTCAGCAAGGGTCCCTGTAGCCTGGTGTCTTCCTGCCTGAACTGTGGCCACAAGCAGACACTCAGAGATGAGGAAAGCCAGGGAAAGGTTTATTGTGAGCACTCCTCCTGGCAGACCTTCCTGGGCTCTCTCAATCTCCCTCTCAACGGGTAGCAGGTGATTCATGCCAGAATGATATGAGCATCCTGTAGTGTTGGTTCTACCCGGGCCAGAAATTGTGAGCTGAGTAGGGCAAAGGAGAAGCATTTGTTTATACTCACTTTCTTTACTTAAAGTGACGTTGACATGTATGTTTCCAATGGGGTCATCCAGTTGAAGATTAATGGTGTTCAAGCCCCAACAGATGTTCCATACACATCTAATTCTGGTAAGAGACTCATCTTTATATTTCACCTAATCTTTTCTGATCTTCCAAAGAAGGAGAGGACGTGATCCTGCAAACAGCTCTCAAGACAAAGATTGCCCCAATTTGAGAAACAATTAGGTGATTTTAACATGCCTTCATGCTAGCTTTCACAGGGGGTGGCAAGAGAGATGAACAAAGGAAGAGATGTTGATCCTGTGTATCTTTGCACAAACCAAATAATGCAAATAATGCAAATAATACCTTGTGCTGATCACAGAGACCCACAGAACAAGCACCTAGATGTCCCCTGGCCACAGCCACCCTTGTCACAGTGTTTTGGTTTGTCCCCAGGCAGAGCAGTATGGTCTTTCTTATTTCTCCCACCTCTTTCAAAATACATTAGAACCTGCATTAAGTCCCCAGGAACTTAACAAGTGGTTCAGGTTGGACCCTAAAACAACTTCATTTTAAAAGAAATCCCTTTTTGCTTTTTTGTTGCAGATGCAAGCATGCTGATCAGCAGTGAAAAGGAAGGCCTGTCACTAAAAGCCCCAGATTATGGCATAGATAAACTATATTATGATGGCCATAGACTTGAGGTATTTTTTTTAATTATTTTCAGTGAGTTTATTTTTAGAAGAAAAACATTTAAGTACATCTTCTCTTTATTTCCACAAAGATTCAGGTTGCTTTCTGGATGTCTGGAAAAACATGTGGCATTTGTGGAAAATATGATGCCGAGGAGGAAAGGGAATATCAAATGCCCAGTGGATATTTAGCTAAAGATGCAGTGAGTTTTGGTCAGTCCTGGATCATCTCAGAAGACCCCTGTGCTGGAGGTACTAAGATTCTAACATATATTAATGTCATGGCCTTTGACTAATTAATTAGTCACATGAATAGATGATTTATAGTAATTTTAGCACAATCATCTTATTTTTCACTATTTTTGTGATCAGTGGCCATAGACTAAAAAAAAAAAAAAATCTGTTTTCCCCAAGTTTGTTAATTCACTGCAAGTTCTGGTTTTGTTGCATTTTTATAGCAACTTCTTACGCACTATATAGTTACCTAGTGTGTTCCAGATAAAATTATAAACTCAAAACTCCTTAAAATAGTAAGTTAGTATGAAAAGTAGGTAGTTTGACTGTTGACAAAAGACATTTTATGTCATCCTTAATAGTTTCATTCTTTATTTCCATTCTGTTATTTCCAGGATTTTAGTTTCACAGAAAAAAAATTAACATCTAGCCTATCAAACTAGAGGGCATATAAGGTGTGAAATACCTGTTTTCATTTCCACAGGCTGAAGAATAATTTAATCCAAAACCCTCAGGCTGGTAATGACTGTTCTTACCATCCAGGTCCTATATAAAACCAACATGAACATATTGATAAGATTAGACTGCACCACATTTTGTGCGGAACCCAACTCTCTGGGCATGTGGTGGCATTTCTGGAATATATTTTTAGATCAAGCTCCCCTGGGAAGACTGGTCCAGGAAAGCGTGGATCACAGAGGCTTAAGGACTAAGCTAGTCAGCCATAGCAAGGCAGGTGTGATGCTAGGCACAGTGCAGAAGTGGATATACAGGTGCCTAGGAGCCACTAGTGCCCCAAAATTAAGTGCTGTCATCGTTTGGGTAAAGTTGAGTGTTAGCTGACCAAGGTTTTCACATGTATCTTTTTTGATTTGGACACCTGTGTCCTACCTAGGTCCTATCTGGCAAGCCTCTGTCCTTGGGACTGTGAGAAACAAGCCCACGTATATATAAAAAAAAGTTTTATTGGGGACACAGTCAGTGGAGCAAAGAATACAGCGCTGGGCGCAATGGCACACCCTCTGGAGCCAAAGGGGCTCCCTTTTATTGTATTAATGGTTACATATTCATCTACTCTAATACATATGCATCACTACTCCAAGGATAGGGAGGGAATATTACAATTAGTTCCGAGAAATCATTAACATATCCCCCCACCCCAAATTCCTCCCATCGTGCTTGCTCAGTGCTCCCTGGTGGTCGTGGGCAGGGGTCTGCAGATGAAGGCTCGTAGTCTTCTTCACTGTGTTCCTAGCTGACCCTTACTTCTGTGCAAACTCAGTCCTGTAGTCACATACACCTTGTCCTTCAAGTTTGGGCTAATTTGCAGCTCCTTTGTCTTTATGGCTTAGTGGTTTCAGTTCCTCTCTTATCTCAAGGACAAGAGATACCAGAGATGGCCCATCCTATTCTTTCTCATTCCATTGCAAAGGAGTTACCATCCTTTGATATGGACCATCTGGTGAGAAGCCCAAGAAGGGGGGGGGCTGTTGGGTTGGTGTTTCCTCAGATCAATTCCCCCCCTTTTCTTTTCCCAGTAGTAAATTCTTTTACTTTTCTTAAAACTTGGATCGTTGTACTAATAATAGCTTTAGCCTAACTCAATAAAAGTAATTATTTAATTACTTCTAGCGAAAGCAAAATTCTTCTATTATTTATCACAGGACTGTGCCTCACATACCTGATTTTCTCAGAGCCTAAACCATTGACAGAAAACGGACTCACGTCAATCATATTAGTTTCACATAGCTTGTGTCACTCGGTTCATCCACTGGTCTCAGTTGTTGCTAAATTTACAAAATAGGTTCAAAAAGCTTTTTTATATAAATTCTGTAGGTGCTTTAAGAGAATGCATGTTTTATAGCTTGTAAGCTGCGGCGCAAATTTGTCAAAATTGAGAAGCCAGCTGCATTTGCGAAGGCAGCAAAATGCTTCTCCGTGGAGCCAGTTCTACGCTGCCCGGAAGGCTGTCCAGCAACCAGGGCTGTTCCTGTCTCCATGGGCTTCCACTGTGTTCCAGCGGGTGAGTCTCCACAACGGGTACTCGTGCACAACACAACGTCCCACTGTGACTCCTGTGAAAAGCCGTGCGGCTGGCTGTACGAGCACAAGTACCTTGGGGTATAACACACACACACACCCCCCGCACACAACCCCTCTTTCCTCTTTTCTCATTTACAGACTCTGCTCTCAACCTGGAAGGACAGGTTAGGCTAGACCAGAAATCCGAGGACATCGTGAGCTCGGTCTCTGCCCACACCGCGTGTTCCTGCCCGCAGCGGCCGTGCCCGGCGTGACGCCCCGTGTCACGGGGGTGACCCACTCGTTCCTGGGTGTCACTGCCAGCCCGGGCGGCCTGCGACCCTGCGGACACGGCTGGTTTGGACAGTGAGGATATGGCCCCGTCCCCTTCAACAGATCCTTTCCCCCCTAGTTATTTTGAGACCTTGGAAAATAATTCTGGACACCCTTTGCCGGGTTTGATCTTTTAATAAACCGTTGCTCCGTAAAAGCGGTCGGTCAAGGTCATTTCTCCCTCAGCCAGCGGCGCGCTGCGGGCGGGCCGCCGTGGGCCGCCCCCGGGCCGGCTGCAGCCCGTCCCTCCCGCCCGGAGGCCCGTCCCGGGCTCCCCCCGCCCCGCGGAGGGGGCAGAGCGGCGCCTGCCCGGGGCGGAGCGGCGCGGCCGGCGGAAGCGGCGGCCCGCCATGGGGCGGCCGTGGGGCCGGTGGCTGCTGCCGCTCGGGCTTCTGCAGCTGCTGGGCGGCCCCGCGGCCGCTGCGTGCCCCTGCCGGGACCCACGGCTCTGCCGCCCTGTCACGGGCACCGGCGGCTTCGAGGTGCGTGGCCCCCGCCGGCTCCAGGCCCCGCCGGCCCGCCCGCCGGCTCCGGCCCCCGGGGTGGGGGGCGGCGCGGTGCGGCCGGCCGGCGAGCGAGGCCGGGCCCGGCGCGGCCTGCGCGCTTAGCAGCGCGTTAAACCCGCCGTCCGCCGCCGCCTTGGCTTAACTGCCTGCACGGGAGTCGAGCAGGTTTTTAAAAAGCAGGCGCATGTGATTTGCAGGGCGAGGTGGGTTGGGCAGGCCGCTGTCCCCGCCGCGGGCCGCTCGGCTGCTGCGAGGCGCGACCCTTCCCGGGGCGCCGTCCTGCAGGGCACCGCGCAGGCTGGTGCCAGAGGCGCGGGCCGTGGGCCTCTCCGAGGGGTGTGGAAAATAACCGTCCTGCTGAGAAGTGTTTGGAGCTAATGAGGGTGCTTTTTACCCCTGTTGCCAGGTCTTCGTGTTTGATGTAGGAAAGGAAACCTGGAAATCCTACAACTGGTCAAAAATTACAACGGTGGCAGCTTTCGGAAAGTACGATCCTGAGCTCATGTGTCATGCTCATTCTAAAGGCTCCCAGATAGTGCTGAAAGGTTGGTTACCTTGCAAAAATGTGGATATTTATGTGATACATGAATAAGAACATAATGTATGTGAGACTGTAATGCATTGGCGTTGCACATTCACTTGTATGCAGGGTATTAAAAATCAGTAAGAGGACTAATTAATAAGGGGATAATGCACACAGGACTGTAATACCTTGACATTTGCATGTGCTCGTATGCAGGGTATTAAAAAGAAAACCAGTGGCAGCTTCTGCCACAGTAATAATAAAACCATTCCAGTGACATCTAAGTAAAAGTCCTCAAACAGGGACCATTAGAGCTGTGGAGGAACAGGGAGGAAGGGAGGAAAGGAAAAACCTGTAGAAGATACTTCTTTGGGTCTGTATTCTGGATGTTATGCACAGTACCCAAAAGACAGGGTACGGGAAGGGATTTTAAGTAATTTTTAATACTTTTCACTTAAATCAATTCCTTTGTATTAGGAAGTGGTTAAGTTTTAAAACATGAATACTGGGGAACTCAGTCCAGGTACAAAATGCTGATTAGAAGGACAAAGTCCATTACAGCTCATGTGATGTAACCAAGTGTTGGCTCTGTTGGGGCAAAAACAGAATCCAAACACAATGTGGAAAGCAGCAAAGGTTAAACATAAATGTATGTTTATCTAAACAGTAGGACCCAGTCCCTCTTGCTCTGTGGAAATACTGAGAGTACATTGATTTCAAGAAAGATAGTTTACTGTGGCAAAAAGAACATTAAGCAGAAGTAAGGAGATTATAGAAAAAATACCCAAAAGGAATTTAATTTTAAATACTGCTGCCTCAGAGAGGCTTGGTAGTCTTTTCTGCGGTGGGTTCTCAGAGGTACACTTGGGAAAAAAATTAACTCCTTTGTATTTTACCAGTATGGGTGTGAGAATTTTTTATTTTGTGGTTATGTTTGTTGGTTTAGTAAAGACAAACCTTTCCTCCTCACTATTACTGTAGTGCAAATACATAGTAACTCTTGCAGGCCTCTTGTCTAGGTGATGTACCTCTTAAGGAAATTGTTGATCCTGCTAAAAGAGCAGCATGGATATCCCAACAGGTGGACCTTGCAAAAAAACAGTATATGGATGGAATTAACCTAGATATAGAGCAAGAAGTTAATGAAACCTCCCCTGAGTATTATGCATTAACAGAACTTGTTAAAGAAACTACAGATGCTTTTCACAGAGAAATACCAGGATCACAGGTAATAATAATGTACTTTATACAAACATTAAGTGTAACTTTATGAAATACAAGGAGTTTTGAGAATGCTGTTTAGCATATGAATATGAAAAAAAAATATGCAGATCTAAAGCATGATAATCTCATGAATGGTTAATTATGAATGTTAGCTATGATATGCTATCATCAGAATCACTATTTTTCACCTGTATGAATTTAAACGGAAGAGAGGTTTCACTGATATTTGTAGATACAATGCTACTGACTTGTGTGGGCTGGCAGTTATTAGTATGGCTTAATAAATCTTTGAAAGTAGGGCAAATACAGTCTTCTGGTGCAAAAGCTTGACAAAATTTTGGTAAACCCATCACTAAAGTTTTAAGAATTTGCATTGTGCTTCATATTTTTGATCGGATGGTTTTCATGTTATATTTTAACTTATTTGACGTTCTAAATTCACTAATAGGGGAACAGACTGTTTATTATCTAATGTTTGTTTTAGCAGCTGATCACCTTCTCCTATAGTTCTTAGTATCACTGTGTGTTAAACACTGTGCAACGTTTGGGAAATTTAAAAATTACTGCTTTTTTTAAAGAGAAAACAAGAGCTCCTAAGTGCCATACACAATACTAACTTGTGCATTTTTCCTTCAGGTAACATTTGATGTGGCTTGGTCTCCAGCATGCATAGATAAAAGGTGCTACAATTACACTGGGATTGCAGATGCTTGTGACTTCTTATTTGTGATGTCATATGATGAACAGAGCCAGATCTGGACAGACTGTATTGCAAAAGCCAATGCTCCTTACCTGCAGACTTTAGTTGGTAAGGACAAAACACCTCCCCAGGAGTCAGAACATTTCCATTTGTTCACATGGATAGAAAAGATTGCCTTTTCTTAGACAAGTTTTTGGTTGTAGTAAGGCTTTTGAGTGTGCTCAAGAATGTGTTGTCCTAATGTGAAAATAGTATCTCAGCTCCTTATGACACTACAGATAGACCTTCAGCAGTTGTGTGTTGTTAAGTAATTGTCTAATGGCAGCCAAAGCAATGGTGTCTGCCTGGGCTTGCAAAGAACCTGAAACATTTCTCTCATCCTTGTGAACTGCTGCTTTGCACGGCTGGTTTGAAGTGTGAGCAGCTAGAGCAGTTACTAGGATCTCAACAGAGCAAGTCTAGGAGTATGCAGGTGGGAGGTAAAGAAGAGCTTGCACCTTAGCCTTTGTCTAGGGATCATGCAAGTATTGGCTCTGGCTGTAGATTAGTTGTAAGAATAAGAAGCATGGGAAAATGCAGTAACACATCTTAATGTTTATTTCCTTCAAAACTAGGCTATGAAGAGTACATTGCTATGGGCATTGATCCTAAGAAGCTTGTGATGGGCGTCCCTTGGTATGGCTATGACTATGTCTGCCAAAACCTATCTAAGGTAAGATGAAGATTATTCATTTACAATTGTACTGTTATTTTTTTCTGTGGAAAGAGACAGCTAGTTTTTGGTGACCCTGTTTTTAGATTAGGAAATACCGTGGTCTGATGGATAAAAGCATAAAGCTGAGACTTTGCTTTGCTGATAACTGATGAGCAGTGTGTTAGCAAGCAAGGCATTTTATCTCTCACCAGGCAACCTGAACCCCACGATACCCAAGTGCCATGTTTGGCAAAGGAGCTATAGATGTTATCTGTATGAGAAGAGATGATGTCTGAAGGCACTACAACACTTGTGTCTGCCTTCTCAACACAGTCACTGAGCTCACTGCCTAAAGACCAGGTGCAACAAACCATAGCAAACCTATGACTGTTAAGGTATAGCAGTTTATGGATAAAGCATGGAGTCTCAAACAACATTATACTTAGGAAAAATGTAAGAGTGAATTAAAAGTAGAAAAGATAAGACAACTGTATAAATTGAATGATGTCCATCCAATCCCATACTACTACAGAGTAAACAAAATTTAACTGTTTTAATTTACTTCTGTCTATAAATAGTATGTCTGCCACAGATACTTGAAGATTTGGGATTTTTAAGACCCAGGTGCCTTTTGTGACTTTATTCTTGGCTGTACTGCTATTTTGGATTTAAATAAATCTATGTAACATGAAACTTGTGTCTTGTACTTTTTTTTCAGGATCATATTTGTTCCCTTTCCAAAGTACCTTTCCGTGGGGCTCCTTGCAGTGATGCTGCAGGGAATCAGATCCCCTACAGAGCCATCATGAAGCAGGTGAACAGTTCTCTTTCAGGAGTGCTGTGGGATGAGGTACAGAAGTCTCCATTTTATGAATACAAAGTAAGTGTCTATAAGACACCGTGTTGTGGAGTAAATGTTCATGAACCATACTTCTTTGATCATAAAGTTTTCAGGGTCAGTCTCTTCCATTTGTGTTTTCTACTTCTTTTTTTTTTTTTGTGTGTGGTAAAGGATGACTGGATATCTATGTCTTGAATTTCTAGTCTGAAAGAGGGGTGCAGTAACTGAAGACTACAGGAGTAATAAAGACGTTTATTACTTTGCGGTTTTCTTGAGAGATTATACCATATCAGAAAGGACGTTTTGGCACAAAAAAAATCCTATAGCTTCATCCTTCACTGTTACAGTTACTTTTATGAGTTGATGACTGATTTAAACTAAAACACATTCTGAGATGCTCCTAAGTTTTTCTAACCCAGTGGCTTGCATGTGTGTTCACTTATGCATTTGGTTTCTGCTTAGACAAAGAGTCCATGAATGATTGTGCTTACATGAACAACACAGTGTATGTATTTTGTGTTGTTTCTTTAGACATAATTTTAAGTTTCACATGTAGATGATTAAAAGGTGTTGAAAGCAATGACCAGGTCAAAGCAATGTAACTTTGACAAAATTTTATAACTTCCTCAAAAACTGTTTATTGCTGAAAAAAGCATTTAATTTCTAACTAAATTCACCTGTTAGGTTAGATAGAGTATCAGATTTTAGCTGTGTTTTAAAAAATTATCAAAATACAAATTAGCTAAATCTTTTAATCTAATTTTAGTTAGGATGTGTCACTGTGTTATAACTTAGATTCTATAAGTAAAAAAATAGCAAAGTATTTGACTTAAAATTTTTAATTGTCCTGGGTGAAAAATAATTTGTAAATCAGGAAAGTATCATGTAAATCTGCATAGCTTTTATGTCTCATTTTTTAATTGTACTTTTCACTGCATTCATCAGAAAATGTAATCAAAACTCAATGAACTTTAATGTATCATGTTTATATAGATAGGTAGATACTGACACCAGTGTTTAAATGTTTTTCTAGGATTCTCTTGGTCACTTCCACCAAGTATGGTATGATGACCCTCGCAGCATCTCTCTAAAAGCAGCGTATGTGAAGAATCGAGGCTTAAGGGGCATTGGCATGTGGAATGGAAATAGTCTTGACTATTCCAGGGAAGCTCTGGCAGAGCAACAAACTGAAGCAATGTGGCAAGCCCTGACACCGTAAGAACTATGTGAACCCTTGATTTAGAATGGTGAAAATTGTTAATTTTTTATTACGGCTTATACTGTCATAGATTTTGACTTTATATAAGCAGATCATGATTACAAAAAATTTGAGAACTAGCCAAATTCATCTTGCTATCTTGTATACAAAGCCATATTTTCATTCTTCAAAAAGGTCCAATGTTGCTTTGGCAGCATTGTTTTTTTTAAAAGACTGCTCATCTTTTTCATTTTTCATAACTACCATTAGTTGGTTAAAGCCTGAACCCAATGTTTACCTGATAACCAGAAAGACCAAGTGGTGGATTTACAGGGGCAACGTCATAACGATCCTTTGCGAAGGCTGCCTGGTGCAGCAGTGTTCATTGTGGGGTTGTGTGGTGCAGTCTCAGCTTTCTGACTTCCCAGCCCAACCTCTATTTTAGCTAAGCCACTCTTGAATCAGTTTAACAGAGAATACTGGAGAGACAGATTGTTGCTTACATGCAACTTGGTGAAACTTATGCTCCTACTTGGTTACTCTTCTAAAGATTAAAATACTTTATAGACTGAAGAAGTTATGTAACAAGAAGTAGTTGCCATTAAGATTTTTATCAGACTTCTTGTTAGAAGGGAATATGCAATAAACCCATTTCACCATGTTTATGTATCATGTAAATTCCTTAGTTTCAAAAGCCAAAAATCCTGATCCTTATCTTGAAGAAAGAACATTAACATAGAGAGGACTTGGATGATGTTTTCTTCCATTTCAAACTTCGATACTTCCTGAAAACTAGAACTCAGAAGTTTATTTAATGAACTCTGTATGCGTTTTTCCCACACACTTTAAGATTCATTCAGTAGCCTGTTGTTTGTTTTTATGTGGTGTTCCCTCTGAGATAATGAAGTTACATTTACTTTCTTTCTGGTTCATATTTTTCATAAAATAATTTGCCTAGAGAAATCATGTAACTTTTAAAAATAGCTGTAGTGGTGGAGAGATTGACTGGTGTTTAGAAGATTTTTTTTTTTTTTTAATAAAATGCTGTCTTTACCAAGGTTGGTAAACAGTGTTGTCTGTTTATGCTTTACTTGTTCCACAGCTTACAGCCCACACTGCTTTTCTGCTTTTCAGAACTGTTTCACAACCAGATTAAAGTGCAACTGTGCCCTGCTTAAGTGACTCCATTAATTAAACAATTTAATTAGATATATGTAGTCAGTTGTGGGGGTGTGTGTGTGTGTTTGTTTTGTTTTTTTCCCTTGCTAAATAGTTACTGGGAAAACATCATAGAACAGCAACACTACCATAATGGCTAGTGAGACTTCATCTGAGTATTTGACTGCTTGATACTACAGGTGATGGAAAGCAGAAGGTAAAGCCTGCTGCTCTCACATAAAGAAAAACATTCCCTTGGAAAATAGGAGGGCTCTTCGCTTGAACTCTGGTCTGTAGGTTTTAGGAGAAACTGGTAAATTTATTTGACATATAGAAACTTCAGAATTTGTGTTACTATAGTCATATGCTAAAATACTGATACTGAGAGGTCTTCTGGAATCGATGATCTGACCTACAAAATCCTAACTGAAGGCCAGATGACTATATAATAAAACTTTCTTTCCTGTAGCAGTCAAGAATCATGAGCTGATACTTATTTTTTTTTAATTTAGGTTGATATTTTCCAAGAGCTAGTTGCCTGCCTTTGTTTCTGAAGACACAATTCTGAAATACAGGATCTAGGATTCAATCCTGAATTGAGCAAAAGTGGTTGTAGCTTTAATAATTTTTTTGTTTCTTAAATCCTGTCTTTAAGAAAATAAATTGGATAATGGGTAGACTCAAGACATTTGGAAGTTAGTCCTTTTGAGAGTTGCGTAGTTTTCTTATTGTAGTACTGACTTCCTATGTGTGTTTCATATCCAGTAATAAATACAGCCTTAGCTTTTTAGCTGACATTAATTCCTAGCATGTTATTGTTCCGTTTAATGTAGTAACATCTGGTACTGCAAAGAGGCAAACAGTAAAGCTAGAAAAAAATTGCTATCAAGAAGAGGTTTCCAATTACTCTTTCAGAGAATTGTCATCTAAGCACATGCGTGAGCTTGAATTTAAAGAAAAACAGAGTATGCAATAATGTAAGTAGGACCAGGATCATCACTATGGCTTGTCCAGGACAAAGCTTTCCTCTTCCACTAACTACAGAAGAACATTAATGTCCATGTGGCTTTCCTAATAAGAGAGGGAACAAAAATGGCTAGATATGAAATAAGGTGAGATAGTATCTGAGATTTTATTCATACTTCATAATAATATGGTAATAATACATTGGTAATTTCTAGATAGGCATTCTTCTAATGACAAAAATATACTTCAATAAATAGCTAAATAAAAGATTACTGTTGTTGTAGTTGTATTTTAATCACTTACCAAAAATTCAATGTGCGTGCCTGAAAATAAGAACAGGGGGTTACAGATTATAGGTTTATTTGCTTAGTAAGTATTTTGTTAGTGAAAGAACATCAGCATACCACTGTGATGTTACACAGTTAACTAACTTGCACTTATTTTAAAATAACTTAGATTTGTTTTAGACAGGTTACTAGGTTAAACTGTATGTTTAAGTAGCTGACTAATCTCATAGTGAGATTCAAAAAGGGAGCTGCAGTACCTCGGTAGCCTAGTATACAAATTCCACAACAGTTATATAGTTGATGTATTTTTACAAGATAACTTCAAGAACATATAAATGAATGCTGTGAAATTCTGAGCATCTGTATACATTACAGAGCTTCTGTTGACTTTACAGATGTTAAAGTCATGTCATCCTCTTAAATTCCTGATTTTCTGGACTGGAGAATTAAAGCTGAATGAGTCTTCTTCTGTGTCAGTTCTGCTCTCAGTGCACGTAAATCAGATGCTGCCTGCTTTCTCATCTGCAGAACAAGTAATTTAAGGAATTGCAATTTAAGGAAGTTTTTGGAGTTGACATATATACGGGTTTATATAACTAAGATTGAATTTTATGCAGGATGGCTGAATACAGGATACATCTTTCATCTTTAAAATTTTACATGTCTAATTAGATAGGCTAATTCTAGCACTACTTTATTCTGTACTTTGCCTTGGTGTTTTTAAGAGACAACTGTGAAATTCACTATTCTTTCCACTCCTTGTTGTACAGTGGAGGAGGCATAATGAGTACATCTACCCTAGATTACCCAGTAAAGAGGGGTATGGGCAGTCTCTGTGATATAGAGGACTCCTATTATTTCAAGCATTCAGAGCTGGAAAGCTATCAAATGTGAAGGCCTATATCATTATCTTCCTTCCAAAGGGAGCTGCAGGCAGCACTGGTATGGAATAAATCAGATGAAGAAGATTGCCATTTTTTTTAATTAGCCATGGTCTCCTACTGACCAGTGCTGCACCAAGTATGTTCCTTCAATTACCTTTCAAGTGAAATGTGAATTTTATGAAAGAGATTGTGAAGCTTAGCTTCAATAGTACCTTGAAAATCTAAGCTGCTTGAATGCCATACACTCAAAATCATTTAATAACCTGGTCTTCTGGAGTAATTTGGCTCAAGTGATATAGTTATGATGACAACTAACACCATAAAACTAACAGCATAAAACAAGAACTGTTTAGCAATTGTTTGCATCATCTAATGTTTCATAAGATCTAAGGTTTTTTTATACATAGTAACATTTTGACTGTTTTAATTAAAAGGCAAAGTACCTTAATTTCTATTATGAGTTTCATTTTTGTATCATCCAGCTGCTTCTTCAGTTGATCCAATTCATGCTGCACTGTAGTAATCCGGATGATTGTGTAATTCTATATGAAACAACAACAAAACGTTAAGTGCAGCATTAGTGCATCTCTTCATTCATTGGGTGATACTTCATCACTCAGCAACAATCCTCTGAACTCCAACTCTCCTGCTTTCTTCCAGTCCTTAAAGTGCGCTGGGCTGTCTCTGGTCGGTAAGCAGTCTGCTCTCCTAGAGAGGGCAGTTCCTTTCTGCTGCCAGCCCTTCAGCTGGGTGCAGAGGTTCTTCCACTCCCTATTGTTTTGGGAAGTTAAGATCTAGATCTGATCTCCTGCATAACAGCACACTGTTTTGCCGTTACCTTTTATGGCTACTCTCCATTTATAATAAACAGGCATACTTCATATTTTTTTTCCTCTCACAGACTTAGAATCACTATGTCAAAGTGCATTTATTGATGAGGTTGCTACACTCATGTGATGTTGAGTACGGATAAACTGCTGGTTATACAGCACATAATTTCAGCAGTAGCTGTGGGTGAGCCTATCTTTGAATTAACCTCTAAAACTAAAATCCCTGGTCCCTTGCAGTCAGTAAGGCTGAGGGGTGAGTGTGTATTTAGTAATCTCTCAATGTTCCAGCCTTTAAAAATGCTATTAAAGTGCCACCTAAAGCAAATGATGCAATAAAGTTGACTACACAGAGTCATTAAGTGGTATCTGGAGCCTCTCATCTCTGAGTTCCTGCTGTAAGCTTCTCCCCACCCAGGGGTATAGCTGCCTGCTCACAAGGGTCCCAGTCCCAGCTCTGACACCACACAGCCGTGTAACCCTGGCTCAGGCCACTGAGAAAGCATGAAAGGTACACAGTCATGCAGGAGAAAAACAGGCAGGGCCGTCAGACCAGTTGGGGGCTGCTGAGGAATCACTGCACTGCTGGGTTGAGTCACCAGTGAGGACAAAGCTAGTAGAGGAGAAACCAGCGACAGCGGGGTCTGTTCCCAGGGGCCCGACTCCTCCTGCCTGCCTGATGCCTGCCTGGCCAGCACGTAGCTTAGAGAGGTGGAGATCATACTCGTGCTTGGCCTAATAGCTCACTGAATCCTGGCTACCTCCTGTGGGTGCTAGCCAACAAATGACTGCTGTTTGCATGCTAAACTGTGCATTTCCTTCACCTAAGGCCTCTGTGCCTAGCCAGAGACACCTAAAAAAACTCTGATATCCCCCTCCAAAAGGAGCAATAACATATCTGAACACAGCTAGTAATATAATGTAACATCAGCCCTACTACTGTTTTTATATTGTAGATATTTATAATAAGGTAGCTCAAATAATACACATTTGTATATAATATACACTCTTAGATTGTACATACATTCTCTCACCTTTCAGTTACAAGAAAGGGATATTTGTATTTCCTAGTCTAGCTTCAGATTTGCCAACAGACTTGCTTCCATTAACGCATTTAGCAGATTATCAGATAAAACTATTGGGAAGGGTGTTTCCCTCTTGTCTTTTTTCTTTTTTTAATACCTCTCTGAAATTCCCATGATTTGACATCATCAACGTAACACAAGATTCACAGTTGCACAACAGTTCAGGTGCAACCACTCCAAAAGCCTCAGACACTTTGCTTGTCCCCCAAACTAGAATTCATTACCTTTGTACATGAAAGTTGGGATGATGAAAACAATATAGAACTGAAAAATTCATTAATCATACTGAACAAAAGGGGATTTTGTTACAAGAAGGCATTGTACAAACACAAAGTAGAAAGAATCACATGCTCAGACTCAAGCATTTCAGTCTTTTTGAGAAGAACGGGCTGAAGGAATTCTATACTTCATATCATTGAGGGATATTGGGTTGTTAAAGCTAGTTTACAAGTAATTGATTGGTGATTAATTTGTTACTTTATGCAAAAAAAAAAAAAAAAGGCTGTGTAAAAGGACAGATTAAATAATACAAGCAAATACCTTGGAGTTTGTCATATTGTTTGGTCGTTTTCGGCTCTCTCTGGCTTCCAATTGCAGGAGTAATTTCTGGTGGTAATGCTCTAAATCTTGTCGCAGTTTGTTTAAAGCATCCTCCAGTGAAACTGTAGCTTTCTTAGTTCCAAAGTACTTCTTTTTCCATTCCTCACGAACTACACAAGAAGACGATAATACTGTTTGGTCTTGTTCACCTTACCATAGGGTCTGTTGAAGACAGTAATGACCAACTTATCTCACAAGATTCAGTTGGCCAATGCACACATTAAAACCTGGAAGTACATTTCTTTAAAAGAAGCAATTAGTGAAAAATCTTCATAGTTGCCATCTGGGGTTAAATCACAACAAAAATTACATTCACTATAAATGCAACTGAATTTTCACACAATTACCTGCAACAAAAGGCTCTACCTGTCCACTGAGATACAACCCAAGTTCCAAAATCAAAATTTCATTCAGCCTGGCTGTTCTGCAGGTTTCAGATGCACAGTAAGTGCTCCAGACCTCTGAAGACTGGTATGCCCACCACAGTCTGAAGTCTCTTTAATATAGCAGAATATTTAGCACTATAGATTTATGCAAAATTTGAGCTCTGCAGGGCCAGAGATTTTCAACAGCTTAGTTTTATACAGAAGTCCCAAGATTATGGGAAACAGGTATTTACCTTTACACTTAACTATGATTCTTCCTACGTTGTTAATGTGCTATCAACAGCTGGCACATAAATCCCCCTGTATCTGGTGCGGCAGTCTTATGGCCACATACATCCCCTAGTTTGTGAAGTATCTTGAATGATTCCTCCTTTCAAGGCATATTTTAGGAAATCAGGACAACTGCTTCTCAGAAACTTTCCAAAAAGAACCCAGATGCTGGAGGACTATACAGTATGTAACTGAGAGTGACTGTCAGCATGGTAATTTTAGGAGGATATTAGATATAGGCTGGGTCGCTGTTCCTACAGAATACGCTCTTACCTTCATACCTTGTGAAGAAACACTTTTGCTAATGCACTTACTTACGAAACTCTACTGGTCTAATAGAAATAGTTCAGAGGTGGAGACACTTCTTAAAGAACCTGCAGAAGCTGTTTAAATCCTTGTGAAATAACCTTTATTTTACCTAACTGGATAACATAATCTAAGACAATGCAGGAGCCATTTAGGGTTTATCTCAGCAGGGTAAATTAGCTTGCCTTGCAGCTCCATGCTCCTACAGATTCACTGCTTCAAGTACCCAAGTTTGGTTTTTTTAAAATACAACTTCACTATGCTGCAGAATGCAGTGTAGTCATGCCCTTAGAGAATATCTGGAAGAATTGTCTCATCTTCTTCTTTCAACAAAGCTCCAAATAATAGCTGAGACGCCTAGTGATTTAGCTGTATTTAAGTACAAAGAGAATGCTCTCAAAACACCAAAGTGATTAAACCTCTTCTGTGTATAACTGGAATGTGACTTAGGGAGGGTAGTTTAAGTATAAACTTGAAAATAATTTTACGAAGAAAATTTGGGTGGGATTTCAATGAGACTTTACCTTGTTAAAAAAACCCCAAGGTTTGTCAAGCTTGTCACGACAGGCTTGTAACTTCCATGCCATAAGCTGAATACCATTAGATAGGAGGAACAAAAAGTATTATGCTGGCAATTTAACTAGAAGCCCTATCAACACAGTAAAAACCTCTGTAAGCACTAACTAAAGGCAAGTTTAGAATATGTCAGCTGCCCTGGGCCTCAACCAGCGAAGCGGCCTGCAGTCGCTCTGTGGGCACTGTATGTACATGGGACACAAACTGAATGGTTTACAAAAGCCCAGATATTTTTAGATTTACAAGAATGCCAAGAAAA